TGAAGCCCAGGTTTAAACGTGTCAGGATTAAGTCATAGAGTGCCTCAGCTCTGCCTTATTTACCTTCGTTTTGCTTTCAGTGTCACCCCATGATTACTTTTTATTAAATGAATAGTGACCTCAAAGATGTAGTTCTCCGTTTTATATAACTCACTGGGAGTAACTTTTACTCCAGAGATGACACTAAGATTTTGCCTGGACGTTCTTAGAGTCTGAGACCTGGCTGTGTTTCAGGACTGAAAAAAATGCCAAAAAAAGTGAGCATACATTATTATCATTGTTGTTTTTTCCATGCAGAGTCTTCTTCCAAAAGCCAGGAAAACATCAAAGGAAATTATAGAAGATAACCTCTAATAATTATAAATGCACCTGCTTTAAAGAGAAAGGAAAAAGGAAAATTTAGGCCCTGGCTTATTCGAGTTTGCAACCAATGCAAGACCTTGGGCCATGCCTGTCCTAACCTCACTCATACCTGGTACTATGCACTTTCCTGGATATTTTACTACATGAACAGTTTAGAGGCTGGAAGGCAGAACCAGCAAACTGTGGACACATAAGAACGTAACTATAGCTTCGTAATGGGTGGCTGGATGCATCTGTCTCTATGTGATCTTTCTAGTCTTCAAGCTACCTCTTGCATGTATTCCCTACCTACCACCATTGTTCCATACCCTGTAAACTGATTGATTTTAAAGTAATAGCAGTAAAAATGTGAAAATGTGGCTATAAGGACTGAAGGAATTTGAACAATACTGAGGTTTATAAATGAAAGAGAGAATCTTTTAAATGGTAATGAATTGCTTTGACCAAGCCCTCAGAGGCAGCTTCAAAAAAGCAGGATTCACTATGGGTTGTACCTATAGTCAGTTCCAGCAAAATTGACCATTGGGGAAACTAAAAACAATTGATTCACACAGTGCACTGCCACCTCAACTCAGTCCTTCCCAAATCTGTGTGTAATATCTGAATTTGAGGGTTCTATTAGAAACTAGACATGCCTCAAATACCATGCACTTACACCTGCTGCCAGTCACTCCAGCAAAAGCCGAGTGGAGCACTTTCTGGACGCCAAGCACACGGCCTGCCACCAGAGTACAAGCAGGAAACAGACCAGGCTCTGCCCTCCAGGCATTTAGTGTACAAGAGGGGGAAGCATTCATGTCAACTTGTGAATTCGATATGATAAGAACTAATGAAAGATATGCATAAAACATCATCGAAATACAAGAGGAGTTCTTGGCTAGACCTAAGAATTTAGAAAGGCAGAAATGACATACTGACGAAATGAGAGTTAGGGGAACAAACATGGGAAGGCTTTTACAGCCAGAGTAAAACGAATCGAGTAAGCAACAGAACGGTAAATGTGGTTAATTTCAAGATGTTGAGCAGTCGAAGTGCATCAGTCGTGAGATGATGAGGCCAGGAATTGAAGCTATCGAAGTAGATTTGAGATGGTCCTGGAGGCGAAGGAATTTAGAATCATCCTGGAGATGATAAGGACTCATTTAAAGGATTTAGAACTTAAGATGACTTCCCAGTCTTCAGACCTGAGTGTCTGAAATAGTGTCTGGGGATGCCATTCACTGGGCGAGAGAATACAGGTGGAGAGCAAGCTGAGGAGAGAGGGTGGATGGAGAGTTCAGTCCCCAGCATGCCGAGTTGGAGCAGGATGGGGAATATCCAACTGAATTTCTGAGTGGATTGTCAAATACATCATGTTAAGGTATGACTTCAGGTGAATATAGGGACTTAGGAGTCATCGGGGTAAGGTCAGTTATAAAGCTGTAAAGGTACAGCCTATTTGAACTATGAAAGCATGTGGAAGAAAACAGGGTAGCCAGACAGAGAAGAACCTTGGAGAGCACTGTTTCTTGAGGAACTCATAGTATCCCAGGAGGGACGAAATGGAGGCAGTACTTCAAAGAATGCCTGCTAGAAACGCTGTGTTGCCTTTTAAAACGTGTATGCCCAGGCGTTAATTCTAACCTCTTAGACCCAAATCAGTATCTGTTAGGTAGGGCCTGGCCATGTGTACTTTGAGAAGAATTCCACATTGATTCTGATTCATACTTTTAGTTAAACACTGAAGTAGAGAGTTTCAAAGATGTAAGGAAACATGTCCCTGAAATGGCCTATAAAATAAAGACTAAAAGGATCCATTTTACTGGTGATATGAAGATTACGTGTCTTCTCTTAGTGTGTGGCATGACTCCGTAGAAGGAAGAGAGAGTGGATTGCACTCAAATTCCGTATTCGGTACCTAGTGCTACACAACAAATTACCACAATTCAGCAGCTTAAAAGATGACAAATTTACCACTCATGGTTGTTTTTTGTTTCGTTTTGTTTTAATTTGAAAACAGCTCAGGTGGACCTCTGCTCGGAGGCTTGCAAGATGACATCACATGGTGAAATGTGCTGCCTTGTCACCTGGAGGCTTGGATCAGAAAGGATTCATCTTCAATCTCACTCAAGTTCCCAGAATTTGTTTCTGCAGAATTGTGAGACTGAGGCCCCAGCTTCATACTGACTGTTTCCCAGAAGCCAACCTCAAACACAAAAGTTTACCCACAGTTCCTTCCCATCAAGCTTCCCCCACATGGCCACTTATTTCAAGCCTCTAAGTCTCCTCTAAGTCTGTTAGCAAGACAGAATCCTATATAATAGAACATAACCATAAAAAGGGTATTCCATTGCTTTTCCAATATTCCACTGGGGGAACCATCTCATAGGTCCTTCCCATACTCAAGAGGAGGGGGTTCTTCCAGGACATGGACACCAGGACACAGATCACGGGGAGCCTTAGACCGTCTGTCACAAACGTCATACATTAAACATCTGTGTTTTCTTTACTATATTGATATCAAGATGGGGTGGAAGAAAGGTTAAAAGAGAAACAGAACAGCAAATAAATAAAAGTACCAGTCATGACTACTTCTCCAAGAAGGTCATAAGCCAACTGGCCATATTATAAGTCACCTAAGCCTAGAAACATCATTAGTTTGGACTTCTCTTTGGCCCGAGGACTAAATCAGGCTGAAAGAAGAAAGATCAGAAAGTCTTGAATTTAGGACCGAACAATAAAAAAGAGAACACACAATATAGTAATGATATTGTATTCCTGGGGAAATAGAATCCAGGAAACCAAGTGAAGCATAGCTTTTTCTTTCACAGAAGACTTCGGTTTCTCAGTGCCAACACCACTGGGTTTTTCGCCTGATGTCCTTAAGAGAAGAAACATAAACTCTAATGAGTTATCTTAAATATTCCCGAAGTAAATCTGTTCTCTAGTCTTTATGTTTCCCAATTCTGTTTCTGTCAGTTTTCTTCTCTCTCTCTCTTTAAAACACACACACACACACACACACACACACACCTTCTCGTATTCCTTCTTTCCTAAAATCACACACTCTGAAATCAATAAACCTGGTTCAACCATTTGCTAGTGGGGTTTTCTATTTAAATTATTGGAAATAGAGTTGCAAATAACACTTGCCTCGGTGGTGGTGGTGGGCGGGGGGATCAGCAATGCACTAAATACCAATACTGATACGTAGTCCCTACTGTCACAGTCTCAGAGATAACAGTAACCCAGACTACTGCGATGATCTTAGAGAGTGTAGATTCAGTAATGGCAACTTCAATGCATGCACTCACAGTCGTCACCATTCAACAGGAAGGGAAGCATATCAGACGCCTGGTACATTATGTCCTAGCCCTTAACCTCACCCTGACTGGAGGGAAAGTTCCAGGACAAAGGACGGTCAGCAAAATCAGTGACTGACAGGGTGAGGCACTTAGATATTGCCCAACGAAAGCAGTCAGATAAGGTTCAGAGTAAATTCACCCAACGGGTATTAACTCCTGATTCTTGTTTTTGTTGTAAAGGAACTTTAATCAATAGAGTAGTCAGGAACACCTTCCAACTGCTCATGGAAGAGAGTCCTAAAGGCAGTAAACAATGGTGTCGGGCATGCCCTGTCTTTGGACATGCTTGATCGAACCACCCAGGGGAGCTGAGTCACTCTAAATTCACACAGATGAAAGAGATGATGCCTGTGGCCAATATTGTCCATTCCGAGGGAATGCTAAGAAGGCAAGCCTGGTTTGGAGGCATTAACAGGAGAGATTACTGGTGTGACCACAGGGAGGAGAGACACCATGAGGGACTCATGTAGAAAGACTAAATGAGCCATTTAAAATGATGTTTTTGAAAGCTTTAATGGAGTGCAACTAAGCCTAAAGTATAATTTTAAGAGAAAAAATGGAGTATTCAAAACTGTATATACAGCAAGTAATTTGGACAATAAAAAATCTTGCCCATTTCTATATTACCGGCCTCCACACACAGACAAAGTCAAGATTTAAAAAATGTACCATACTGTTAATGGTTAATGATAATTTTATGGACTTAAGATAGGTTTTTTTCCCTCTACTTTTGTCATTTCCATAATTTCAATATGAGTTAACGATACAATTGACAAAAATAAGAAAGAAAGGGCTAGCTGACAGCATGGTGGTTAAGGTGGCTGGCTCCGACATGGCTGATGGTACAATTCAAACCCTGGACCTGGAGGCTTGAGAAACATGCCAGGCACTTGTATGTGTGTGCCCACATCCTGAAAGGAGAATGGAGAAGGGACTGTGGTGTGTCACCAGCCCCTCCCCGGGAGGAGAGTTCACTTTTTCTCTCTCTCTTTCTCTGGTGAGTATATGCACCTTATAGCCCAAGTAATTTATAAAGAAGTAGAAGAAGAAGTGGAAGGAAAAGGGAGGAAGAGGAGGAGGAAGAAGAGGAAGAAGAGGATGATGACACACCTGTTTCCGTGGTTTATTCCATTCTCTTACTTTACTCAGCTGATTCCTACTCCTTATTTGGCTCTTACTTAATCCAAGAAGACATCTCAAATCCCAGAAGTATAAGTTAAGAGTCCCTACTGTCACTCTCATATCCCCGTGTTACTCCAACCCCTTACCATATGCACCATAATTCACCTTGTTTCTCTACTAGACCCGGAGCTGAGAGGGCAGGGGCTACGTGTGACCTCAGTACTGCTGCAGACCCCATCCAATGCGTATAATGCCTGGAACCTAGTACGGATAAGAACAAAGAGTTACTGCGCAATTGCATCTACAAGTAGGGTCACGAGGGAGATGTCACGTTAGAGCTCAGTAGAAATTTGGTTAAAATATGATTAAGTACAAAGATCCAGAGGGGCTTCTCTGAGACGAAACACAGTGGAACCAAGGCAGAGTAGAGAACTGTCTGCCTGAAAGAATCATAGCCACCTGGCGCGAAGAATGGTGAAGACGCTGTGGGTCCATACTACACTGACGTTCAGTAACAGCATCGTCACCGGCATAAGAAGGTAAGAAAACACTGTCCAGGGTTTGAGAAGAGAATCCGAATGACTGGAGAGAAACTAGGAAGAGAAGTTTTATCTGTGGGGCTAGATAAAATTGTCAAGTGGCATTACAAGGAGTATTCAGTCTGAAAGGGGAAGCAAAAGTTCTTCTTTCCCGGGACCAGCAGTTGGCGTAATGCCAATGTCGCTGGACTCCCATGTAGTCAATCGCGGTTCGAGTCCCAGACCAGGTGGCTTGAACTCAGCTGGGTGTGTGTGTGTGTGTGTGTGTGTGTGTGTGTGAGCGAGAGGAGAATGGAGGAGAAGGGATTGTGGTGTGGCCATTCCCCCCGGGGGGCTGATTTCTCGCTTTCTGTCTTTCTCTCTCTTTCTGGCAAGCGTGCATGCCCTATAGCAAAAACCTCTCAAAAAAATAAATTAATTAAAGAAGAAGTTCTTGTTTCCCTGGAATCCTGAAAGTGCTGTGTCATCCTCCTGTTGTCACCTCGTCTGCAGGAAGCCTTCCAGGTAAGCTGGGACAGAGGGAGAACAGAGAACAGAACAGGGGCTGACAATCTAGCACTAAGTAAACACAGCCCCCCTGCCCTGTCACACAGCAGGGAGCCTCCTGCTCCTCCACTGTTTTTGTTGTTTATTTTTAACATTTTTTAAATTTTAAATTTTTTTTTTTTTTTTTTTTGTCTTGTAAGGTTTTTGCCAAAAAGTGTGCATGCTCATCAGGCAGAGACAGACAAATGGAGTGAGGGAAAGTGAGAGCCCCCCACCCCCTCTTGGCGCTGGTCGGCCATGACATAATCCCTTCTCCATTCTCTTCTCAGGGTTTTGGACATGAATGACACACACCTGGTGGCATTTTCAAGCCGCCAGGTCGGGGACACAATCCATAGTTAGCCATGTGGAAGTCCAGCGAATTTACCACCACACTACCTGCCCCCTCCCACTGTTTTTGAAGGGATGATAGCTTTGTTTGCATTCTTTTTAAGATGTATATCTTCCTGGTTAACCTACTAAGTAAACAGAGCCAAGCCAAAGCAGACAAATTGCCTCTTAAGAGCACAGTTCGAAGTCAATTTTGTCAGCCTTCTTTCTTAAAAGCTGGTTTGGCTTCTAGATTCTGCAAGAGAACATTTGCCTCATTGAGGTAAAGCCGCTTTAAGCATATGAATGTCTATCATTGAGAATGTTATTATGTAAAAGATTACAGGAAACAGGCAGGTGACGTGAGTCTTCTGCTTGGCCCTGCTATCATGAGCATTATTACAAATCCAATGTGGCATTTTAGAAAGATTTTAATTACAAAGAAATTGGAGAATTACCAGGTTATCATCAGAACACTAAGAGTAGCTTAAACTGGACTGGCCAAAGGATATGTCCTTCTCAACATAACAGCCAGAGTCACAACCAGGAAAAAGAAGAAATGAAGAAAAGAAAGAAAGAAGACAAAAAGGACAGACAGTAGAAGATGCTATAAAAATTAAATAACATAAGATAATCAGGGATCCTACAACATACTGCAGTCTTCTATTTAAAATCAGGAAATGACACTTTATCCTCTGAACCTGCGCATCTGTGATCATATAAGAATTAATTCTCTTTTTCTACTAAGAGCCTAAATAGTATTTACGACATTAATACACTTTAAACCATTGAATTGATGTTGTACTATTGGTGTCTTCACTAGGTCCCTGTAGGTGGAGTGCCGTCTTACAGAATTTAACCTATATGGCTAATTTTACCTGCATACTGAAAATGCTTCTGTGCTAATTTTATTGTGCTTTCGGAAGTATTTTCTGTAGGATGGTTGTCAGTGAGTGCATCATCAGGGTTCAGTGCTGATACCAATGAAAACTGATCTAGGTCAATTCAATGGGAGAAAATTGACTGAAAAGATCAAAGGCGCTCCCAGACCTGAAGCAAACCTGGAGGATCAGGCTTAAAAATGAAATATAGGGGCCAGCAGATGGCGTAGTGGTTACATCACTGGACTCCCATAGGGCCAGCTAGGGTTTGAGTCCCAGACCTGGTGGCTTGAAATTCATGTCTGGTGCATGTGCATGCATGCCTAAGATCCTGGGAGGAGAATGGAGGAAAAGGGATTGCAGCATGGCCATCCCACAGGGTGCAGGGGAGGTGTGTGTGTGAGAGTGATTTCTCACTTTCCCTCTCACCATCTCTGTCTCTCTCTCTCTAGCAAGTGCAGGTGCCCTAAAGCAAAAACCTCTAAAAAATGAAAATACATCAAAAGAGCTTTAAAATTTAGGATAAAACATGCAATCATTTTGTAGTAAGAAATATATAACTTCCAGGGATCAGCAGTTAGCATAATGGCTATGTCGCTGGACTCCCATGTAGTTGACCACGGTTCGAGTCCCAGACCTGGTGGCTTAAAACCCATGCCGGGCACGTGTGCGTGTGTGCCCAAGATCCTGAGAGAGTAGAATGGAAGAGAAGGGATTGCGGCGTGGCCATCCCCCCTGGGGGGTGATTTCTCGCTTTCTGTCTCTCTGTCTCTCTCTCTCTCTGTCTGTCTGGTGAGCACACGTGCCCTATAGCAAAAACCTCTCCAAAAAGTAAAGAAATATATGACTTCCAATATATAAAATATATTGGAAGCAAAATGATTTCCCACTGACACTACATTCTAGTATCGTTAGGTCAAGATTCAAAGCCTTAATCTTCCAATCCATGAATATAGGACAGATGTATTTCTATTTATTTGTGTTTTATTTCATTTCTTTCATTTCATAGTTTTTAGTGAACAAGACTTTTACTTCCTTAGTTAGGTTTATCTGTGTATTTTATTCTTTTAGATAGTAGAGTCAATGTGATTATATTCCTGTTTTTCTTTTCCGGTAGTATGTTGTCATTCTACTGAAATGCAACTTATTTTTGTAGTCGGTTTTGTGTCCTACAAATTTACCAAATTTATTCACTCATTCTAAATTTTTTTTCATGGAGACTTTAGGATTTTCTGTATATAATATGCTTGTAAATAGGGACAATTTTGCTGCTTTATTTCTAATGTGGATTGCTTTTATTTCTTGCCTAATGCTTTTGGTTAGGAGTTTCAGTACAGTTCTTAATAGAAGTGGCACGAACGGGCATTCTTTACTTCTTCCTTACCTTAGAGGAAATGCTTTCAGTTTTTCCCATTGAGTATAAAGTTAGTTGCATACTTTCATCTAAGGCCTTTATTATATTGAGAAATTCTTCCTCTATCTCTACTATATTGAAGGTTATTTTTAAGAAAGGATGTTAAATTTGTCAAATGCTTTTTTTGTCTATTGAGATGATCATGTGAATTTTATTCGTACGGTTAATGTGATGTATCACATTAATTGATTTTCGTATGGCCACATTCTCATAATAACCGTCCTTCCCCACCAAAGATAAATTCCATTCGATCATGGCGTACGATCCTTTTAATCCTATTGGATTCAATCTTCTAGTATTTTATTGAGGATTTTTATGTCTATATTTATCAGGAAAACTAACCTGTAATTTCCTTTTCTGGTAGTGTGCTTGTATGGTATCAGGGTGATTCTAGCCTCATTAAATAAGTTTGAAAATGTTCCTTATCCTTAATTTTTTTTTGTAAAAATGTAAGAAAGACTGACATTAATTATTCTTTAAACATTTAATGTGATTCAACCAGTGAAGCTATCTGGACTTGGACTATATTTGGTGGGAGGCATTTGATTACTGATTCGATCTCCAAACTAGTTATAAGCCTTCTCAAATGTTCTATTTTTTTCATGTCCCTAATACTCAAAGTGATTTATAAGTTTAATACTATACCTATCAAAATTTCCATAGCGTTTTTTACAGAAACAGAAAGTTTTAGACTAATTCTTATAGACCCACAAATGGCCAAATAAGTATTGAAAAAGAAGAACAAAGCTAAGATATCACACATTCTTATTTTATAACACATTATAAAGCTATAGTAATCAAAAAATATGGTACTATAATACAGATATATAGAAAAACGGAACAAAATAAAGAGCCCAGATAATTAATATATAAAGAACTCTTACTTGTCAATAGTAAAAATAAAACCTAATAACTTAAATAAAAATTAGCTAAGTACTTGACTAGATATTTTACAAAAGAAAATATACAATTGACCAACATGAATATTAAAAAAAAATCAGCATCACTACTTTCCTGGCAAAAAACAATGAGCAAATATGTGTGAGAATAATTATTATAAAAAAATATATTGGTAATGATTGGAAGCACTACACACTGCTAGCGGGAATGCAAAATGGTGAAAATGCTACAAAAACGAGCATGGGAACTGAATAGTGGTGCAGCTGTAAAACAGGAGGCCTTGCTGACCCACGGGGTGAATTTCTGGTTCACACCCAGAGACCTTCCTGAGTACTGTGGGCATACACGTGCCCGTAATCCAGAGCTTCCTGCGTCTGGGGTAGATTGTGATGTCAAGGCCCTTTTTCCTATTTCTCTCTCCCTTGCTCTTTCAAAAATTCTGTCTGTTTCAGCCATAATAAAAAGAAATAAGCAAACTTTAAAAAAATCAGAAGTTCTGCAAAAAATTAAAAACACAAATACCATCTAATTTGGCCTATTGACCAAAGTATATCCAGGAAAAGAATGTAGTCTAGTACAACATAGGCCAAGTAGCAAGAGGCCAGTTGAAATAGAAAACAGGAATGAAAACTCTTATGAAGAACTTATGAAAGAGTTCTCTATTTTATGCCAGCTTTTCTTTTCTGTTTTTTTTGAGAGATTTTCACTGTAGGGCCCGTGCGCTCGCCAGACAGACAGAGAGCGACATAGAAACAGAAAGTGAGAAATCACCCCCCGGGGGGATGGTCACGCCGCAATCCCTTCTCCTCCATTCTCCTCTCAGGATCTTGGGCACACACGCACATGCGCCTGGCGTGAGTTTTAAGCCACCAGGTCTGGGACATGAACCGTGGTTGACTAGGTGGGAGTCCAGCGACACAGTCATCACGCTAACTGCTGGTTCCCTATGCCAGCTTTTCTTTATGCTAGTCTAAGGAACAATGGATGTCATTATCAAAAGGTTAATAACATCAGTTCTGGAATCAGACCATCCTGGTTCAAATCAAAGCATCTCTATACACAAGCCGTATAAACTTGAGAAAGATGCTAAATACAGAGTCTTAGTTTTTCTCGCTAAAATGAAGGGAATGATAGATTCTACATCTTAGACTTGTCATGAGAATTAAATGAGGTAATTTGTGTAAACCAATTACTGCAGTTCCTGACACATATTAAATGCTCAATTAGTATTAGTGGTATTATTATAAGGATTAGTCTTTCAAGAATCTGGGTAGAAAAAAATGTCCTTAGTTAAGTAAATTTTGGAAATCATGATAATAGTTTTACCTTTGTGGAGACTCACAACATAAATTAACTTATTAAAGTATTTTAAATACCCTGCATATGTTTGACAGGATGTTTTCTAAACCTAATTAATCACACAATCATTTTGGGCTTTTTTTTTTTTTCATTGTGCTTGTTAACAGCTCCCCTCACCACCCTCTCTAAATGAACACTTCATTCATTCATGAAGTTACAATGCAAATTCTCCTGTTAGAAGCAATAGCCTAAAGGTATTTTATGGGTGGGAAATGCCATCCTTCTCCTAAGGGAGTGAGAAGGTGTGAGGTCTAGTTGTGACATCTATCCTGTCTCCAGTCCACGTTTCCAATGATTGCACATAGATTCTCACATATGGGCAGAGGAAATAGCCTTCTAAACAAAGGAGATATTTTCTACACAAGAGGTTTATAAGGAACTTTGTTTCCTTCTACCACTTCTGTTCCATCCAGAGAACTCCAAAAGCCACAAGAAAGTCTCTTCCACCACCAAAACTTGCATGAATTATACAAGTACTCTCGTCTAGATGACCAAAATTAGCCTTATTTGGCTTTGAAAATGCTGGAATGGTTCATCAAAGAAGAGGGACAGCATTATATTTCTTCCTTAGAGTTCCAGTGAACTAGATTGAGCCAGTTTGCAAAGAAATGCCAAGGCCTTGGGTGATACTGCTGATCTGAGTGTGAAACTTGTTCCTCAATGTTCCTCCTGAGGAAGTCAGGGGACAGGCCTGACCCTTAGGCTTCAGCTCCTGAGTCCAAAGACCTCTCAAGTTTTTGTCACTTGTGGATATCAGGTAATTTTTTTAACTTCCTTTAAGCTAATCTATAAACATGGGATGTGGTGTGAAGGTGGGGGGTTCTGTCCCTGGGTGTTCCTATCTCACATGGTCATGATTGATTGTCCCAGACACAGTGCAGGACAACCATGAAGGTATGGAGGCTCAGAATACCTGTTCTTCTTCTCTATTCAAAAGTAGTGTGTGATACTGTATGTTACTAATGGTGTAGGTTACCATGTATCCCTTGAAATTATAGAAGGAAAATGATCAGAGATGAAACTCTTTGGAACAACCCATGGACCCACTTGGACCAATACACTATGACCTGAAGAAAGGGGTACTGTGTTGGCCTACCTTTGGATTATGTGCATCCCTGAAATTAATCACTAAGAGCCAGCAGGTGTGATGAGCCTGGGAGTACCAAGGTGACCATGTGACTCAGGGAAGAGCAGTTTCTGAAAAAGAAGAAGCTGGTAGAAGATTCCAGAAGTCCACTTTGGAGGAGAAACTTAGGAACTAGATACAGGACAAATAACACAGAACTTAAAGACTGAATTAGTAAATTGTAAATGTAACCGAACACTGCAGTAAGTTTTGAGTAGGACCTAAGATGACACATAGGTTTATCTGTCTTGGCCAAGGTCTTCAGACCCACTTCTGTCAGTCCTTTTTGTCCTCTTGCTTCAGCTAGGAGACACTCTAAATCCCACCAGGTTACCATTTTTTAATATTCCATAGGTCAGATATTTCCCTCCTCATGGAAGCCTACTGGGGTGATGTCAATCATTTCTTCACATGGTTGTTATGAATACTTGTAATTATATATTCTTTTGTTTGATTATTTATCTATTCTCTGTCTCCACCAATGAACCTTAAGCTCCCTACAGTCAGGGTCCATATTTCTGTTCATTGCAATTTCTTTTATTTTTTTAATAATTTTTAATTATTTATTTTACTTTGACCAGAGAAAGACAGAGAAAGAGAGAAAGGGAAAGTGAGAAAGCAAGAGGCCAGATCTGGGACCTGAACGATGGTCGACCATGTAGGAATCCAATACCCTAGTCATTATGCAATATGCAACCTGCTGGCTCTCGTTGCCATTTCATTCCCAGGGTTTAGTGCATCGCTCAGCACACTTGGTATACAATAAGTGTATGTGGGATACATCAGCTGGTAAATGGGGCTTGTATTCTAGTCATATCTTGAATTCATGTGCACCACATGGCCCCGTGCTGCCGTACACGCTACATGTTCCTCCCAGAGTCTCTGCATGAAAAGCCCCTGCGCGTGTATTAGGGCCATTAGCAATTTCTTCTCTCCTGCATTGTTCCCGATGTCCTGTTCCCTCTCAGAAAAACAGATGCTCATTCCACATGACCAGGGTACTCTGCGCACAGTTCCATCAGGAGGGTCCCTTACGTTTCTTTGGAAATTAAGTTCCTGTGCCTCCTCTCACAGGATCGTGGGTTCTCCAGACTAAGTAATGTGACTTTGCATCAGCAACAAGTAGCCCCATGAAGGAAATGCTGCAGGCGTTTGATAAACATGTTTTACATTGGTGAATAAAGTGAGAAAAATATATTATCAGCCCAATACATGAGAAAATGGAAGTCTAAAATATTGTCACCTCTGTCCCAATTAACTACAAGGTCCACTGTACATCTCTTGCCCATAAGTCATTCTTCAATATTGTCGTTTAAAAATCTCCGAATTAACGAATGTCAGTGCCAGTTGAAGAAGTAAGATACACAAATGGCAGACCCACCTCTATGCATCTGTGTGTCCTGTTAGAATGCAGACTGCCCTCTTGTAGTTGTTCTTAAAAGAAAAAAAAAAATACACATTTCCCACTTAATAAAATAATCTCTTTGACTCTGTTTTCTCTTTCTTTTTCCCTCTATTCTAAGTCAATTTTCATCCTTTGAAAGACTGACATAATCCAAATGCTCCAAAGATTTGGTTCAAATCCAAATTAAATAGTCAGCCTGAGCTTAGAGCAGCTGCAGCCATGGTTCTTGGGATGCAAACCAGGTCAGTGAGTATTGATACAGAGCTGCACAGAACCCCTGGCGTTCCCTCGTTCATCTATAAAATACCCTGACACCTTTCAACATTCCCTTCTAGCATCGTGTGTTAATCTGGTTAAGTAAATTACAATAGCCCTTCAGAAGATATTTTGCAACTCTTAGAAATAGTTTGGGAATTTTCAATGAGTTACTGAAATAGCAGGTCAGTATCTAATATTAGGTCGTGGATTTGTTGAGAAAATTGCATCTACTGTATAATCTCAATTTTAAGTAAATAGATAAGAGAAAAGGGAACAAAATCCACATCAAAATATTAAGTAGTTTTTCAAGAGGGATAATTCTCTACTGACTTAAAAGGTCTTTTTCCCCTATAACATTTGTTTCTATTTTCCTTTTTTTTTAAAGATATTTTTGCTATAAAGTATATGTGCTCACCAGAGAGACAGAGAGACAGAAAGCAAGAAATCACCCCCAGAGGGATGGCCACACCACAATCCCTTCTCCTCCATTCTCCTTGGGATTTTGGGAATGCACGCACACGTACCCATTGTATTTAAGCTACTGGGCTGGGACTTGAACCACAGTTGACTACATGAGAGTCCAGTGATATGACCATTACGCCACCTCCTGGTCCCCTTCCTTTTGTTTTTGCACCAAAATAAACTCATACTTTAATTTTATTTTTCCACAGACTCTTAGCATCCTCTTATATTACTGGGAGCCTGATGTCTGAGCACTTTATCAAATCAATGAAAGTGAGAAGGTGAGACTCGGGAATTTATCCTAAAAACAAGCAAACAAACAAACAAGATTCCCTCTTTAGGTGGAGTCGACTGAGCAGGCAGGTTTGAGGACTCCTGAACTAAGCTTGACTCTTCTCTGATGAGTCTATGAATGGCTGGCTCCTGTCAAGGGCTCATTTCCCCATGTTTTAAGAATGTTTGCAGTAAGAAGCTTCTCAGCTGGAAGATAAATAGCATGCCATGGCTACTGTCTCGGTGACAGAGCCGACACCTGAATATTAGGGAGGCAATAGAGAGTGGTAAGGACAGGGTAAACTGGAGAACTGACCCCGCTGTAGGGTTATCTGCTCTCACTCCATTCCCGCCCATTGTTGGCAGGCGAAATACCTGCTCAGGGTTGGATGTCCTTAGCTTTTTAAAAAAGAAATCAGAATTCAAGATTTTGTATAATCTCTATTTTTAAATTTTGGTTTTAAATTCTAGGAACACAATTGGGACCAAACCAACCATGTCTGTCAGCCAATTCAACCTTCTAGCCATCCGTCTGGGACTTTTGGCTTAAACTATGGTGTAAGCATCTTCCTTTTTTTTTTTTTTTTGAGAGGTTTTTTCTATAGGGCATGTGTGCTTGCCAGAAAGACAGAAAGAGACAGAGAGGCAGAAAGTGAGAAATCACCCCCCAGGGGGGATGGATGCCACAATCCTTTCTCCTCCATTCTCCTTTCAGGATCTTGGGCACGCATGCACATGTGCCTGGCATGAGTTTAAGTCACCTGGACTCAAACCGCAGTTGACTGCATGAGAGTCCAGTGACATAGCCATTACACCAACTGCTGGCATTGGTCTAAGCATCTTTCATAGAACCCTTAGAGGGGCTGGAGGAATGGGCCCTTTCAGTGAAATACACCAGGTAGGAAGGAGAATCTATCTTCAGTCTGTTGAGGAGGTGGCTCTTGACTTTGCACAAGGAAAACAGCACCTGCTCTGGAGCTGGCAGTGTTCGGTTCTTAAGCCTGCTCACTGGCTTGGGTTGGTGCCCAGAGATCTCAGTCAATCCCTGCAGGGGCGGTAGGATGATTCCTAACACGCTGCAGGCAACATATGTAAAGTGCCTGTCAGAGCACCTGGACACGGGAGGTGCAGTAAATGCCTGCTTTCTTGTCACTTCCTACTTTTCTGCCGTCCCCACCCCCCCTTGCCTTTCGCCTTACCATCTAAAGATTTGATATTGGGTCACCTTCTCTCCCTGGAGAGTCTTGGTCATTGCAAGGGATGGCCATGCTCCTGCCATCACCTTGAGAGTCTTGGAACATGTGACTTAACCATTTGTTGAGCATCCTCTCTTTCTCGTCCCCATCTCAAGATCAGCAAGGGATTCTTTTGTTAAGGCGAAAGTGCAAAGTATGTACACAGGAAGGGTGGTTTGGCAGCATTTACACAAATACAAAGCATACCTTCCCATTGGCGTGAAAAGTTATTAGAAATTTATTTAGGAATTTAGTATATATATTTACTCAGACACGGATTTGGAATGCTCAGTGAATGTGCTTTATGACTTTTGAATTGGGATGAACTGAATTGAACTGAATGTTGGACCAGCAGATGGCAGAATGGTTATGTCACTGGACTCCCATTTAGTCAACCACGGTTCGAGTCCCATACCCAGTGGCTTAAACTCATGTTGGGAGCGTGTGCATGTGTGCCGAAAGTCCTGAGAGGAGAATGAAGGAGAAGGGATTGTGGCATGGCTATCCCCCCTGGGGGGTGGTGATTTCTCACCTCTGTCTCTCTGTCTCTCTTCATCTCTCTGTCAAACACATGTGTCCTATAACAAAAATCTCTCTAAAAAAATAAAAATAAATTGAATGTAACCTAACCTAAGTATGTATCAAAAGAGAGCACATGATTATGCAATAGGATCCTCCACAGAAGTGCTTCTCATCCAGAAGGGATTTCACACCTCAGGGGGCAGTTGGCACTCTCTGGAGACACTGCAGGGTGTCTCAACTAAGGAAGTGGCATTGGTACATGGTTGGTGAAGGCCATGGATGCTGCTAACCATCCACAGTGCACATGGCTGCCTCCAAAGTGGTTATTTGCCCTTAGCTCTGAGGCAGAAACCCCGGCTCTGTCGGTAAAACAGAGGCAGAGGAACTGTGTGTGCACTGACAGGGAATGGGCTTTTTTTATTATTTATTTTTTATTTTTTGAGAGTTTTTTTGTTTGTTTGTTTGTTTGTTTGTTTGTTTTGCTATAGGCACATGCGCTCACCAGACAGACAGAGACAGAGAGACAGAAAGCGAGAAATCAACCCCGGAAGGGATGGTCACGCCACAATCCCTCCATTCTCCTCTCTGGATCTTCGGCATGCATGCACATGCACCCAGTGTGAGTTTTAAGCCACCGGGTCCGGGACACGAACCATGGTCGACTACATGGGAGTCCAGCGACAGCCATTATGCTAACTGCTGGTCCCATCCAGGGAATGGGCTTTAAGAGTCATTGGTGAGATTATTGCCATTGTGTGACTGAGAATGACACACCCACATGGACACACAGCACACACACAGACATGTACACTCATAATATGCATGCATACTGGTATGCTCTATATGCATATATGTTTACATATTCTGGGAATATTTCTGGGGAAATCTATTTTTAAATTTTCTTTTTTAAATTTTCTTTTTAGTTTTTTTTTTAAAAAGAATTATTTTATTCAACTTTATTTATTTATTTGACCAGAAACGGACAGAGAGAGAGAAAGAGAGTAAGAGAAAGCAAGCTGCCAGGTCCGGGACTTGAACCACACGGTCAACCATGCAGGAGTCCAACACCCTTAGCCACTACGCCAACTGAGGGTCCCTATTTTTATATTTTCTAACAATGATTGCTTCTGGAGAGAAGGCCAGGGATTATAGACCCACTGTAGGAGTAAAATGACATTTTATTTTTATATACTTTGTTACTTTTTTTCAAGGTTTTTCCCAGAGGGCACATGCGCTCACCAGAGAGAGAGAGGAGTGAGAGGGAAAGTGAGAAATCAACCCCCTGGGGGGATGGCCACACTGCAATCCCTTCTCCTCCATTCTCCTCCTGGGACTTTGGGCATGCATGCAGAGGTGCCCGGAGTGATTTTCAAGCTGCCAGGGCTGGAACTTAAATCGTGGTCCGTGTCTAACCCATACGCCACCTGCTGGCCCCATTTTGCTACTATTTTAAGTTTTCAGGAAAAGACATATTTCATTTTCGGTTGAAGTGTAGATTTTGTGGTGGTCGTTGCCGAGTAAAGCAGAGCTGAAATTAAAGTGGAGCAGCAGCGTTGAAGCTCTCTCTCGTCTGAAAGGAAGCCTCTGACCCAGGACAGCAGTGCGTTTCTCTCACCAGAGCGGTCTCCCAGGACAAGCTCCGCTACCGTAATTTTTACTTTAATACGAATTTAATTAAAATGTAAACTCTGCTCGGAAGACTTACGTCCTGAAGCTTGTTTTCCAAATTCTGCTATGTAATGAAAGATGGTAGGGTGTGCAGTGGGACTGTAAGTGGGGAGTGTTCTGGAGTCAGGAAGACATTTTCGGAGCTATTGAAATGATGCCACGTATGGAAGCATCTCCTTTCTCTCTCTCTCTTAAATAAATTTGACTGTGAACATTTAAGGTATTCAACATGATGTTACGGGATACGTATAGATACTAAAAAGATTACTGTAGTGAAGCAACTTAGCACATCCATCACTGCACACAGTTACCTATTTTTTTTGTTTGTGTAATAAAAGCAACTAAAACCGACGTCTTTAGGGTGAATCCCAAACATAGTCGAATCTTACCACCTGCAGTCTGCGTGTTGCGTATCAGATCTCCAGGCTTGCTCATCCTGTATGTTTGCTACTTCGTGTTCTCTGTCCTCCAACTCCATTTCATCTACCCTCTTCCTCCACTCATGGAAACCACTGTGTTGTTCTCTCCGTATGTTTGAATTTATTTTATTATTACTATTTTTTTAGATTCCACATACAAGTGAGATCATGCAGTGTTTTCTTC